TCTTAATCATTCCTTCCTAAATGTGCCAAAGAGATCAAATCAATGAAGATACTCAGAACACTGAATCTGGGCAAGTGTCACACACAGCTGCATGGCAAACTTGGAGTTGCCATAGCTCTGTGGCTAAAAATTGGGAGGTCTGATTAAGCACCAAAAAGAATTATAAAAAATGTTAATGGTTTAGCTTTTACATGTCATATGTTGCATTCTTTGCTTCATTTATTAATTCAGCAAGCATTGTTGAGCATTTATTGTGTCAAGTATTTTCCCATTGTTCATATTCTAATTTCTAAAAGCAACTTTTTACCATCTTTGTTTCTTAGGCATTTTGAGGTACATTCCCGAAGTGATTGTAGTGGTTTTCTATGCCTTGCTACTCTAAATGTATTCAGTAGGCATTCCAGACCTGTTGAATCAGAATCTGTATTTTAACAAGACGGCTAGGTGATTGATGCACATTAAAGTTTAATAAGCACACATATAACATATGGAATGTTACCATCTGTGTGTTTGCGTATGTGTTTAACAACCAAAGAGTACTTATACTCATTCAGCTATTTTCTTTCATGTGAAAGCAATTGTGGGAATATACTTAGAAGATATTTTCTATTTTTAAAACTATAAGAAAAAATTGTAAAATACAAGAATACTCTTCCTTTATTGAATGATACAATTAAAATATGATTAGAAGTGGAGTTTAAGTGATTTTCATATTTGCTAAAACTTTCACAAAAGGTAATTTTTAATAGATCTTTATGAGATCTCTCTGTATGAGAGATCTTTCAGTGGTGTAGGAAAATCTTAATATAGAAATGGTTTCTATTTCTTTTCAGTAAGGTGAGTGAAGGTGCCATATCTGAAATCTGAGGAGAATAGTGCTACATCCTAAGGATTTCTTGTTTATTTTTGCAAAGAAGAATGAAGTAAAAGAGTGCTCTCAAGTGAAATCTTTACCTTTTTAGAATAACTGCTGTTTAGGTATCTATTTCAAGTTTGATCACTTTAGAGATTAAAGAAAAAGAATTTTGGAAAAATCAGTTGGAATTTGGAAAATTAGCCTACTCCTGATATAAAGAGGAATTGAAGGCAATTGTATTTCCTTTATTTAAGTACAAGTATGCCTCATTCTGGGGTAACAAATTAAGAATGTATATTGGTTGGTAAATGTTTCATATAATGTTTATAAAGACTGAATTGCATACTTCATTAGCTCAGAGTAATTTGGGTGACTTACTAATGAGACTAGAAAATATACTTCTCTAAATGTTTTTATCATTTAAGATATTTTTTATGCCATTACATAAATAATTGGCGTGATGATCAGTACATGACCACATAAAGCTTTTCCTTTTTTAATCACTGAGTGGTGCAGGTGTGGTGGTCACGCCTGGTAATTCTAGCTCTCGGGAGGACCGAGCGGCGGATTGCTTCGAGGTAGAGTTGAACCAGCCTGAACCAAAGTGAACCCTCTGCTACTAATAATAGAAAGAATAATATAATTGGCAACTGAGATATATATAAAAAATTAACCAGGCATGGTGCACTGCCTATGAGTCCCAGCTACTTGGGACTGAGGCAGTAGGATCGCTTGAGCCCAGGAGTTTGAGGTTGCTGTGAGCTAGCTGATGCACAGCATCACTTAGCATGACACAAAGCGACGACCTATCTCAAAAAAAAAAAAAAAATCAGCTGAGATCACTAATCTGAAATCCAATCGAAACTTTTTGAGTGCCAACATGACACCACAAGTGGAAAATTCCACACATAATTGTTTAACACAGACTTTTTTTCATGCACAAAATTATTAAAACTATTGTATAAAATTACCTTCAGATTGGAAGGCTGAGGCAGGAGAATCTCTTGAGGCTAGGTGTTTAAGATCAGCCTGAGCACCATAGTGAGGCCCTGTCTCTGTAAGAATTAAAAGAAAAAAATTAGCTAGAGAGAGTGGCACCACCTGTAGTCCTAGCTACTCAGTACTGAGGCAAGAGTATTGCTTGAGCCTGGGAGTTTGAGGTTGTAGTGAGCTATGATTGTGCCATACTATACCCTAGCTTGGGTGACAGACAATGTGACCCAGGCACACTGGGTGACAGACACTGTCATAAAGAAACAGAGAAAGAGGCCGGGCGCAGTGGCTCACGCCTGTAATCCTAGCTCTTGGGAGGCCGAGGCGGGCGATTGCCAAGGTCAGGAGTTCAAAACCAGCCTGAGCAAAGCGAGCCCGTCTCTACTATAAATAGAAAGAAATTAATTGGCCAACTGATTATATAAAAAAATTAGCCGGGCATGGTGGTGCATGCCTGTAGCCCCAGCTACTCGGGAGGCTGATGAGGCAGAGGATCGCTCGAGCCCAGGAGTTTGAGGTTGCTGTGAGCTAGGCTGACGCCATGGCCTCACTCTAGCCTGGACAAAAAGTGAGACTCTGTTCAAAAAAAAAAAAAAAGAAGAGAGAGAGAAATAAGTAAATAAACTTACTTACAAGATATTTGTATAATTGTATATGAAACAAATGAATTTTGTGTTTAGACTTGGGTCCTATCCCTAAGATATCTATCTCATTATGTATATATAAATATTCCAAAATCCAAATAAAGGCCAAAATCCAAAACACTTCTGGTCCCAAGCATTTTGGATGAGGGATATTCAACCCGTATACCTTTATGTATGTCAGTACTACTTATAGTGGTTTGCTACCTACTAGAAGCATGACCTTGGACAAATTACTCTCTGAGTTTCGATTTTCTCAACTATAAGATTAGATGATTCCTTTTTCTTTGCAGGGTTATTGAAAGGCTTAGTTGAGATACTATAGATATACTCTAACATTAGACCTGGCACAGAAACAGTTCCTAGTGCACTTTAGCTTTCTCCCCTTTTCACTGCTTTGTTCCATGCGTACATATTTATTCTAGGTTTAGCTCATATTTTAAGTAAGATTCCTCTTTAATTTTTCTTTTATTGTACTAGTTAAAGTTGAATCAAGAATGTAAATTCCATGATGACACAAACCTTGTCTGTTTTCTTTTGTTTATTATGTCCCTACCACCTAGCATAGGACCTGTGCTAGGTGCTTGTTAAGTATTTGTTGAATAAATCGATGAATATCATGCATTTGGAGTAAATGTACTTGAATAAACTTAGAGAATGCCTTTGTAGTTTATATTTGTCAGATATAATCAGTTGAAATTAATTCATTAAAAAAACTGTTATTACTACCTATTATGTGCCAGGTACTATTGGATATACAGTGATAAAGAAGATGGTTTCTGTACTAACAGAACTTGAATTTTAGCTGGGAGAGGAATAGGGAAGAAGGGCAATAAACCGGTAAACAAAAGATAATACCTGCAGTAGTCCTGTGAAGGTATCTGGAGGAATGAGGGCCGCTATTTTAGGTAGGGTGTGTGGAGAGGCCTCTCCAAGGGGGTGACATCTGAGCTGAGACAGCCTTCAAATAGCGAGGAGAAGAGCATTATAAGTAGAGAGAACAGCATGCCTGAAGGGCCTGAGGAGGGTATGAGCTAAATATAGTTCATTAAGTCAGATTGTTAACATCCAAATAACATTACTTCATTTTAATAATATAGTGAGGATTCAAAGACAATGTAAATGCTGCTTTTTGAGTGGTGGGCAGGGAGTACTTTTAAGTGTGGCAGTGAATCAAAGTATAAGATCATCAATAGTCAACTTCATTGCCCTGAGTTTTTTTTTTTTTTTTTTTTTTTTTTTTTGAGACAGAGTCTCGCTTTGTTGCCCAGGCTAGAGTGAGTGCCGTGGCGTCAGCCTAGCTCACAGCAACCTCAAACTCCTGGGCTCGAGTGATCCTTCTGCCTCAGCCTCCCGGGTAGCTGGGACTACAGGCATGTGCCACCATGCCCGGCTAATTTTTTATATATATATCAGTTGGCCAATTAATTTCTTTCTATTTATAGTAGAGACGGGGTCTCGCTCTTGCTCAGGCTGGTTTCGAACTCCTGACCTTGAGCAATCCGCCCGCCTCGGCCTCCCAAGAACTAGGATTACAGGCGTGAGCCACAGCGCCCGGCCAATTGCCCTGAGTTTTAAAAGTCCCCTGTGTGTTGTCTATTTAGTAAACTAGGAATGGCAATGCTCTTTGGCTATTATTGTGAGGCTTCACTAATAATACTGGGATTTTGAGATCAAGAGGCTAGAAATCAACAAGTTTGAAATATGTGAAGTCTCCAGCCTGTCTTTTCCTGCCCTACAAGTGAATCAACATTGCTTTCTAAATGTTTTTATCTTGTTTCTCTATTATTTCTCTGTTTTTCTCTATTGTAATAGCTTTACCTCCTGCTCTTAAAAATGCTGATCTTTCAAAATCATATTTATCAGAATGGAAAAGAAGACTGAGCTTAAAATGAGATACCTCTGAAAAAGGTTTAGTTTGGTATTATAACATGGAAACCCAAGGACATTTTTTGCAATTATTTCAAATGTCTAATTGTCATTGCTTTCAACCCTGATAACAAACAATCAGTATTCTGCATTAGCTGAGAAGTCTATGCATTCTAAGAAATAAAAAAAACAATAAAGACTTTGAACTTTTTAATTTGGGGTGTGGAGAATTTTGTACAAAATAATTCCTGCAAGTCCTGTACCTTCAGATTGATACTCTCAAAAGACAGTGTACAGATAAGGTCCTTTTTAAAGGAAGGATAAAACTGTATGTGCTATAAATAGTTCTGAGTACTGAATTTAATATATGATGCATTTCACTAAGGTGGCTTCAGTGGGTACTATTTTAAGCTCCTCTCTCTACATGCTTATCTTTGGTAATTCAAGGCATTAATACTTTATTCCGGATGTATAGGTAAGATATTTTTGTACTTTAATGGAAATTTTTATGTTTAATGGATTGGAATTCTGTTTGTTGGTGATTAAAAACCTAAGTATATTAATTTTTTAGAGTTTAGTGTTTTGTCTACAGTAATGTGTTTTGCTTATAAGAGCTCTTTTTCTCATTTTCTTTGTAATAGCAACATCATGACAACAGAGAAGAGTTTAGTGGCTGAGGCCGAAAATTCACAGCACCAACAACAGAAGGAAGAGGGTGAGGGAGCCACAAACTCAGGCCACCAAGAAACTCTGCTGGATGAGGCTTCTGGAACAGCAGCTGAGGGAGATAATCAGTGTGACCAGAAGCTGAAAACATCTAATGGAGACACTCCTACACATGAAGACTTGACCAAGAATAAGGAGCGGACATCAGAAAGCAGGGGCCTGTCACGACTTTTCTCCTCATTTCTCAAAAGGCCCAAATCTCAGGTGTCTGAGGAAGAAGGCAAAGAAGTAGAGTCAGATAAAGAAAAAGGTGAAGGAGGTCAGAAAGAGATAGAATTTGGAACCAGTCTTGATGAAGAGATCATTTTAAAGGCCCCAATTGCAGCTCCTGAACCTGAACTCAAAACAGACCCATCTTTGGATCTTCATTCGTTAAGCAGTGCAGAAACACAGGTAAGGATGTTTGAATATGGGAAGTGGGTATAATATAGGCAGGTTATATACTTTTCATTTAAGAACATTTGGTTTTATTTCTTACTAGCCAGTTAAGTTAGCCATTGATCATAATAAGTAACATGGAGCTTTGTAGTTTCTGCTTTAAAGAAATTAATATAGTCATTGGAAACTTGATTTTTAAAAGGATATTTATACTATATAAATTAAAAAAAACCACAAAAGTATCAAATGAGTTTATTCAGCCCATATATCATTTTGCTGTAATAATGGAACAAATTCAAGATTTTCATAAGAAGGGAAAAAAGAAGTGATGGTTTAGAGTTGATTTTGGTAGAATTATAGGATGGGATAGTTACCAGCAAATGTGGTCCTTTTATGGAAATTTTGGAAAAGCTACATGATGAATTCAAACCATCAGAGACATGTAATAGATTTAAGCCATGCCTGTCTTATTTTCTTCATCATCTTTAACTGTATCATATTGTTACAAAGTGTAAGAGATAGATGAGGACGTCTAGTTCTTTCTATCATCTGTATAATATATATTAGTCTGGGACCTTAATTGTGTTACAGTATAGTTAAACTAAACTTGAATTGTGAGTCTGTTTATTTGTCCAAAAAATGTGGGAAACTATTAGTACTGTAACTCAAATATTATTTTCTAGGAATCTCATTTATTTTAAGCCTTACTATCTATAAATTGAATTATTTTCGAAGTCTTCTTATTTCTGAAGCATGTGAACATTATATACATTGTTAAAAATATAAGTCCTGTATGTTTCTATTATAGGTGTAAGGTTTAGGCTATATAGTTTTAGTAAAACTTTCTAAAAATTTTACATATATTTCTATAAATACTACTTATATATTCAGAGTGCTCTGAGTAAAATTTAGGATAAAATTGTAATTATGTACTTGCTATTAGTGAAACAAGGTTGAAAACAGATTTACCATATAGTGTAATAGTTAAGAATGCAGGCTATAAATCAGAGGATTCAAATCACAGAGAAGTGACACTTTTGACTTTATTAATTTCTTCCTCTCTACAATGGGGATAATGATATCCACCTCATTTGGTTATTGTGAGGATTATAAGAGAGAAACATGTAACCCTATTAGGCATTGCCTGACATTTAAGAAGCACTCAACAAATGTTAGCCATAATATTATTACTCTGTAAATAAACACAAATGGTAAAGACAAAGAAACTCTGTATATCTTAATATCATTAATTTAATTTAATTTTAGGCATACCAAAAGAGGTAGATTACATTATCTTTCAGGAAGCCTAGTACTTTGAAGAGGTTTTTAACTGCTTTTTCCCCCTTCTGCTTTATGTAGGGAAAAATCCATATCTTGTTTTAGTTAGCATTTGAATCAGAACTTGCCTATTTTGTCTAAAGATCATGATTTGTACTCAAGTTGAAGCAGATGACAGACAAAATTAATTTTAGATTTAACTGAAATCTCATTTATTAAGAAAATTTAGAATTGAAATAAATTGTATGCAGGTGTTTATGAAGAAAAAGAAACAGGCCGGGCGTGGTAGCTCCCTGTAATCCTAGCCCTCTAGGAGGCCGAGGCAGGCGGAATGCTCGAGGTTAGGAGTTCGAAACCAGCCTGAGCGAGACCCCGTCTCTACCAAAAATAGAAAGAAATTAATTGACCAACTAAAAGTATATATACAAAAAATTAGCTGGGCATGGTGGTGCATGCCTGTAGTCCCAGCTACTCAGGAGATTGAGGCAGTAGGATCACTTGAGCCCAGGAGCTTGAGGTTGCTGTGAGCTAGGCTGACGCCACGGCACTCACTCTAGCCTGGGCAACAAAGTGAGACTCTGTCTCAAAAAAGAAAAAAGAGGTTAGAGCTGGAACCCATACTACTAAGTGAAGTTTCCCAAGAATGGAAAAACAAGCACCACATATACTCACCAGCAGACTGGTATTAACTGAGCAGCACCTAAGTGGACACATAGGTACTACAGTAATAGGGTATTGGGCACGTAGGAGGGGGAAGGGGGGTGGGTATATACATACATAATGAGTGAGATGTGCACCATCTGGGGGATGGTCATGCTGGAGACTCAGACTTGGGGGGGAGGGGAGGAATGGTCATTTATTGAAACCTTAAAATCTGTACCCCCATAATATGCTGAAATAAAAAAAAATAGTAAAAAAAAAAGAAAAAGAAACAATAAATTGTTATTAATACAATTTCAAGGGAATATTGTTTAAAGGAGCAAACTATTTTAGGTGTTTTGTAAGCTAACATTTATAATCAAAACCTTTTGGGTGAGAACCTTGTGGATAAAGGTTTAACATAAGTTTGCGTTATAAGATTGTACCACTCTTTCTACAGTATCTTGGATTTTTTTGAAGCCATATATCAGTTTTAATTCTTGTTTATTAATTCATTTAACAAGTATTTATTGAAAACCTACCATATATACCAGGACCTAGGTTGTATATACCTTGGTAAATAAAAATTTAAAAATGGTGAAAAGGTTTAAGATCATAGATTGTGAAACCAGACTGATAGATGATTTAGTAATCCTAAGCATGTTCTTCTCCAGCTTCAGTTTCACATTTGTCAAGTGGGAATAATAATATTACTTGCCCTATGGAGTGATTATGAGGATTAAGTGAATTCATATAAGTGATGCTCTTAGAATAGTAACTGGCCCATTGTAATTGTTTTATAAATGTTTACAATTATTATTATGATATTAATAGAACAGACATGGTTCCTACCCTTTTGGACATTACAGTCTAATGGAAGAGACAAAAAAGTACAAATACAAAATATTTGTATTTATATTTTGTGTAAATACAAAATATGTACTGTAATAAGTGTTATGAATGTAACAAACAAGGCACTGATGTGAAAAATAGTAGAGTGGGCATAGAATGGATAGGATAGCCAATGAAAGCCTCTCTGCCGATGCATGTGAGAGGGTTGGGAAGGATGAGAAGAAGCCTTTTAGACCATCTCTAAGTTATCTAATGCAGGAGCCAAATAATTAAATTCTTTTTCCTAATTGTCAACCAAGTATTCTTTTGAAGGAAAAGAATTAGTAGGATTTAGTTAAAAATCTTTCAGCAGTTTTATTATGTTGAAAGTAAGGAAATATATGCCAAAAATGTTATCCTACTTATTTGTATTACTTTGGAATGATTTAATGATTACCCTAGAGAGACCCAGATTTCAATCTCTCTCTCTCTTCTTTTAAGTTTTTAATATTTAGTATGATTGATATGGGGTAGAAAGGGGTTAACTGGCAGGTAGTTACAATTTTTAACCGATTACATATGCTTGCTTAATGCTCTAAAATTGGTCCCAAGCACTTCTCTTAGCTATTTATTAAATTTAGAATATGTAACAAATTGTATCTTATTTTGCAATTCATAAGACTACCTTGCTAAAATTGAGGAGCATCAGGCAGAGATAATAAAGTTTTGATAAACTTTAATAATATCATATAATGGCATAGTCAGGAAGAATATATAATGCTGAGAGTAATAGATTGGTGTCCTTTGGTTTACCTGAAACCTTCATTTATTGAATTGATGGGATTCTACCTGAGAAGTTTGAGAATAGCAAAGCCTGTAGATCGTTTGGGGGAGTATAATATCTTTTATAGACAAATAATTATTTAATATTAATGTCATTTATTTAATAATTTTTCATCTTCAGTTAGTACATTTATTGATAAGATTATTGTAGATAAAAGCGTATACAGCATGTTTTGTGACGTGTCTTTATTACTGACATGGTGATGTCATGAACACGTAGCCCGCTCAGGAAGAACACAGAGAAGATCTAGATTTTGAAACTAAGGAAGAAGAAGGATTTGAAGAGTGCTCCAAAGTAGAAGTAAAAGAAGAAAGTCCTGAATCAAAAGCAGAAAGAGAATTAAAGGCTTCCCAGAAATCAATCAGAAGACACAGAAACATGCACTGCAAGGTTTCTTTGTTGGATGACACAGTTTATGAATGTGTTGTAGAGGTGAGTGGATTTTAGTTTCCAGTAGTCAGAACTATTACAGATTATTTCACATAGAGTTGGGTAAGTGGTGACTTCACCTGAGTTAAGACTCACTGTAATACTATTTCTGTGGACTAAAATGTTAATGGTGATTTTTCTGGAGGTAGGGGTATGGAAGGATTAGGAGGGAGTCTTACTTTCTTCTCCAATTTTTTTCTGTATCTGCCAAAATCTTTTGATTTGACAATGTGTTACTTTTATAATCAAAAAATAATTTTGTTTTAAAAAAGTTTGTTATTTATAGAGTGACTTTCCATGCCTAGATTTCTCAGGATAGCCTCAATTTCTGACATTAGGTCCAATTATCTCAATAATTATACTTGTCAAAAAAATTACTATCGGCCAGGCATGGTGGCTCACGCCTGTAATCCTAGCACTCTGGGAGGCCAAGGTGGGAAGATTGCTCAAGGTCAGGGGTTCAAAACCAGCCTGAGCAAGATAAAAAATTATCCGGGCATGGTGGCGTGTGCTTGTAGTCCCAGCTACTCGGGAGGCTGAGGCAGAAGGATCACTTGAGCCTAGTAGTTTGAGGTTGCTGTGAGCTAGGCTGATGCCACGGCACTCTAGCCCAGGCAACACAGTGAGACTCTGTCTCAAAAAAAAAAAAAAAATTACTATCTATTAACATTTCTGTTCTCCTAGATCTAAACCTTAATATGCTTTAGTGTACTTAATGTATTTCTTTAGCTTCATGAGATAGCATATAAAGAAAATTTAAACTAAGTAATGCTATTTCTTAAAATTCTCTATTATTTAATAATAGTATAGAATAAGTAACTAAATAGAATAAGTTACTGAGTAGAATAAGTAACTGAATCAGGATTGAATAAAAATGTCAAAGTTATTAGTACTCTTTTTACTTTTTCAGGATGAGTTGAAAGGAAAAATTTATGACAATATTTTTTAAAACTAGAGCAGTAGTCAATTAGGAGATTCTTTTTTTTTTTTTGAGACAGAGTCTCACTGTGTTGCCCTGGCTAGAGTGAGTGCCATGGCGTCAGCCTAGCTCACAGCAACCTCAAACTCCTGGGCTCAAGCAATCCTCCTGCCTCAGCCTCCCGAGTAGCTGGGACTACAGGCATATGCCACCATGCCTGGCTAATTTTTTCTGTATGTATTACTTGGCCAATTAATTTCTTCCTATTTATAGTAGAGACGGGGTCTCGCTCTTGCTCAGGCTGGTTTCGAACTCCTGACCTCAAGCAATCCGCCCGCCTCGGCCTCCCAGAGTGCTAGGATTACAGGCGTGAGCCACCGCGCCCAGCTAGGATATTCTTGATACATGAGCAATTGTAGTTGTTACTAATAATAGCTTTTATTAATAAAATATATAATTTATACATACTTGTATTTTAGGTGTGCAACAAATTATTTCTGAATTGAATTATTTGTGTGCAAATGCAAATATATTTCAAGCACAAATAGTCTAAAATATTATGCTATATTTAGTAATAGGTATTCTCTCTCCAAATTTTAAGAAGGAAATTAAAAAAATGTACTATTACACTTGGAAATAGCTACAATGCCTGGTAACTAGAGAAAACCTAGGATCTACTTTTTCTGTTTCTTTTTTAAAATTTTTATTTATTATTTTTTTAGAGATAGGGTCTCACTGTATCACCCAGGCTGAAATGCAGTGGCATCGTCATAGCTCACTGCAACCTTGAACTCCTGGGCTCAAGTGATCCTCCTGCCTCAACCTCCCGAGTAGCTAGGACTGTAGGTGTACAACACTGTGCCTGGCTAATTTTTTTAAAAAATTTTTTTGTAGAGACAAGGTCTTGCTATGTTGTCCAGGCTAGTTCAGAACTCCTGGCCTTGAGTGATCATCCTGCCTTGGCCTCCTGACAGTGCTGACAGGCCACTGTACTTGGCCTGTTTTTTCTCTTTCTTGCTACTAGCTAGTTTAGAGATGGGGAAAGCTATTTTACACTCATTTATCCCATTCAGATGAAGATCCAGATATGGATCCTTTATATATGAAACCCTTGGGGACAGATATGTTCCAGAATTCAGAATATTTCGGATTTTAGAAAGTCTCTTGGGAGGCAGAGGTGGAGGATCACTTGAGCCCAGGAGTTTCAGGCTGCAGTCCACTGTGATCACACCTGAGCCACTACACTCCAGCCCAGGCAGCATAGTGAGACTGTCTTTAAAAAATAAAAAGAAAAGAAAATTTCAACTAAAATATGTACATATATCTTTGCAGAAACATGCTAAGGGACAAGATTTGCTTAAACGAGTATGTGAGCACCTCAACCTTTTGGAAGAAGACTATTTTGGTCTAGCCATTTGGGATAACACAACCTCTAAGGTGAGGAGACTGCTTGCAATATAAGAAGCAGACAAAAAATGTGTTTTAATTCTTTTGTTATTGTTGTTAAGAATGTATTTGTACTTGCCTCTCCAAGACACAGTGTACTTAGAGTTATTCCTGTCTATTCTTGTTTCTCAGATGTTCCTGCTATTTTCCTTCTAGAATTAACATTTTAAAGAAAAGACAATTGTTGATGTGTTCTTTCATCTTTGAGATAAAGTATCTACTGTATGTTTTTAAAAGGCAGGGAAAATAAAGAGTTATTATGCCCTGATTAGCAAGTACCATATATGCCAATAACTTAAATTAGTGTTGTATCTAATACATAGGAGGTTCATAATATATTTGATGAAATATTAATATTATAGTTATCATTACATTATAATTATATAAAATTATGATGTATAATTATAATTTGAAAGCAATGTTATGTAAGAGAATAAAGTTCCAATATTATTGAAACAGTCATATAGTGAATCTGACATTTCTTCCAACTTAAAAAGAAGCTAATTGTTAGCTTTTGAAGGAAGTAAAAGAATGAGTGAGAACATGGAGAAAGGAAGAAAGGTTAAAAGTAAAGTATTTATCTCAGAACATAATCTTGAATTATTTCCTGAGCCAGTTATTTGAAAATTGCAAATATTCAGCTTAAAATCTAATGATGAAAACTTTAGTTCTGTTTTCACAATTATTTGCAGGTACTGTACTAGATGATACAGATACAACTGTGAATAAAGTAGACATGATCCCTGCTCTCTGGAGCTTCTAGTTTAGTATGAAGATAACATTAATTACTGGTTTGATGAGTGTTATAGAAAAGGAAGTACAGGATGTCATGAAAGAGGGTATGACCTGGGAAGTCTTCTCTTAGGAGATGATGGCTAAGCCCAGATGTGAAGGATAAAATGGTCAAGTGAAATGGAGAGAGAACAGCTTTTGTGAAAGAAAAGCTGGAGTTGAGGCAAGGCCAATGGCTCACACCTATAATCCTAGCACTTTGGGAGGCTGAGGTCGGAGGGTTGCTTGAGGTCAGGAGTTTGAGACCAGCCTGAGCAAAATCAAGACCCTGTCTCTACTAAAAATAAAAAAAATTATCCAGGTGTGGTGGCACATGCCTGTAGTCCCAACTACTTGGAGGCTGGGGTAGGAAGATCACTTGAGCCTGGGAGTTGGAGGTTGCAGTGAGCCAGGCTGACACCACTGCACTATAGCTGGGGGCAATAGAGGGAGACTCTGTCTCAAAAAAAAAAGAAAAAAGAAAAAGAAAAGAAAACTGATTGTTTCACATCCGGTTATTTACTTGTAAGAGTTAAAGCAGAGAAGACCTCCTCATTAAGCTGACTCAGGTAGACTGGAGTCTCTGGTTTTCAGGAAAAACTGGTCTCTTCAGGGATCTACCTGCTTCCTCTAAGTTTCACTGTGATCATATGGTCTTTAGGATGAGGGACTCCATTTTGGTTTGGTCTGGTCTGTTGGGGCTAATGAAGGAGCTCAGTCTTTAAACAGTGGTCTCCCCTAATTTTTGTTTAACACTATCATTCCCTATTTATCTACTTCAATAAGCCAAATTTCTGGATAATGCCCTCTAGAAGTATGTAGATATTCACGAAATGATTAAATCTGTAATAAATCTTTTTTAGTTGTCTAAGTTTTCTGTCATTCTGAAAACACAAAAGATACTAGAGTTATAAAGCCTTTGGGGGCTCATCCTCTCGTTTTTGCAGATGAGAAAACTTAACCATATAAACCCAGAGGGATATCCTATAAGTTGCACAATTTACTTCTGCAGCTTCTTGCTTGCTGCCCCTTCCGAAGTGATTTTCTGCTTCAGCTTTTTATTCCTTTTCCCTTGATTTTTATATTTCATCTTTGTTTCTTGGTTTTTTTTTTTTTGTTTTTTTTTTTGAGACAGAGTCTCACTTTGTTGCTCAGGCTAGAGTGAGTGCCGTGGCGTCAGCCTAGCTCACAGCAACCTCAAACCCCTGGGCTCAAGCAATCCTGCCTCAGCCTCCCAAGTAGCTGGGACTACAGGCATGCGCCACCATGCCCAGCTCTTTTTTTTTTAATATGGGGGTCTCTTTCTTGCTCAAAGCTGGTTTTGAACTTCTGACCTCAAGCAATCCGCCCTGCCTCGGCCTCCCAGAGTGCTAGGGTTACAGGCGAGAGCGCCGGCCTGTTTCTTGTTTTCTTTTTCCTACTTACAGAATTGGTTCATGTTGTGAAAAAAATGTGAACCATAATACAATTAGAGAAAAATATGTTATCTTTTTTCCTTTTCCAATGTCTAGTGCCTTCTTTTTGTGTATGTAAAGATTTGTCCTTAGCATATGTAACTTCTCTCCTTAAGAGCTTTGTGTTTTGTTTGTAGACAACTGGGTACTTTTAGCAGGGAGGAAGGGTAATTGAATTGACTTTTCCTCATATTGAATGGCTGGCTGGCTTACTTTCTCTACTGACTGCATGATAATAGGCCTATTGCCAGACTGAGTCTGGCAAGAGAAGAGGAAAAGCAGTCAGAAGCAAACTTCTGTAGCTCTGTGAGAGATTTATTGCCATTATGAATCAAAGTTATATGAGTTAAATATTTGCTTCCTATGTTTTATTCCTGCTTAGAATTAGTTATTTATGAATGAATCAAGGAGTTTTTTCCTTGGGGAAAAGTCACCCACATTAATTCCACCTCCCACTGAATTCCCTTTCTAAGAAAAAACCTTGAGCTCTTGTGGTAAATAATGAGAATTTTAAATTAGAACTACATTCAGTTTAATGGTATATGGTTATCTTTTTTCTCCCTCCGTTTCCCATATGGATGAATTTTCTTATCTTTGGAATCAGATAATCAACTCTGAAAAGATAATCAGTCATAGCCAGCCAGGAGAGTCTTTCTCTCACCTTCAAAGGCAAAGAGCAAACCTGAGTGGAGTGAATATTAAATCAAGAGTGTGAGGAATTTAGTTTATAGTCATCTTAAAGGATTGTTTCCCATTGATTCATGATTGGCTATGAAGGCAAGTGCCAGTAATGATTATATCTTTATTGTCCGGCAAATTAGACTGAGATGAATTTTGTAAATATACTTGCAGAGTAGGGAGGCTGCAGTTGGGATCTTTTGCTAAGGAAATTTGGGTCAACATCTCTAGTGGATTTAAATGTTGCTTTTTTTAGCACTTAAAGAGTGAGATGTAGAATTACCTGCACTATAGAGTTTCTATAAACATGTCTTGGAGCAGTGATTTGAAGTCAGCATCCTAACAGCAGCATAAACAATGGTTATTCCTTGAATTAAGACAGACTTCTGAAGCTGATAGGTAAGTCTTTTATCTCAAAAGACAAGAATTTGTATAAATCACTTGTGTATGTGTGAGGATTTTAAGATATCCAGATAAATGTAGCTGATAGCCAACTCAGGGCATGTAGTTCTTTCTTAGAACATTATGACCTAGGGTTATAAATGCTGCAAAACATATGAAAAGCTTCTATTCATTTTACCTCTTTAAATGACATTGCCCTAGTTGAAACTTTATTATTTCTATACTGGTTTACTTCACTGTCATCATTCATTCATTCTTCGTTAGTTCTCTCATTCATAAACATTTATTGAACAGTATCTGTCTTGTGCTGGGCAGAGCTATAAAGACATAGTCTGTTTCTTCATGGAGCTCCCAGACTGAATAGAGGACAGCAGTAAGATGTGGGCACTCACATAGACATGGAGTTAGGAAAGGTTTTCTGCAGAAGGTAATGTCAGGCCTGAATTATAAGAGATAGTCAGAAATCTTCAAGATGAAGAGATGGAGACAGAATATTCCAAGTAGAAGAAACAACATATGAGAAGGTGTTTTGAAATAGAAGAGCACATGGGAGGCCTGTAATATTTCAGTTGAATGAATGAAGATGTATACCAGGAGGCCTGGTGCGGTGGCTCATGCCTGCAATCTCAGCACTTTGGAACACTGAGACAAGGAAGATCACTTGAAGCCAGGAGTTCAAGACCAGCCCGAGCAAGAGTGAGACCCATCTCTCCCAAAAAAAGAAGAAGAAAAATTAGCTAGCTGGATGAAGTGGTACACGCCTACAGTCCCAGCTGTTTGTGAGGCTGAGGCAGGAGGATTGCTTGAGCCTAGGAGTTTGAGGTTGCAGTGAGGTATGATAATGCCACTGCACTCTAGCCCAGGTGGTGCAGCAAGACCCCGTCCCAAAAAAAAAAAAATACATATCAGGATATTGCTGTTCATCTCTATATTGTTTGGAAACTTTTTAAGCTCAAGAAAGAATGTGATTCTTTTTAATGCATGAACTTAAATTCTGTTTAAAATGTTTACGTATTTAACTCACAAGATATGATTGATAGAATGTACTCTTGAAAGGAATCTGTACCACCGAATATATTCAAATAGAAACTAGAAGATTATCTAGGATTTTAGGGAGCATCTTAAGATCTCTACTGAAATACAATTTTATAACTTGTTCTCTCAATATTTTGTTGTTTTATAGGTAAGTCCTATTTCTTTCTTCTAGCTATAACCCTCTCTTCTCCTGTCCTTCACAACCACCATGCTCTTTGAGAAATTAGTTTGTACATATTATCTCTATTTCCTCACTGCCTATTAGTATAACACAATGCAAGGAAGTGTGTAAATCATACATGTACATCTCAAAGAATTTTTACAGAGTGAACATGTCTGTGTAAACTCTCCAAAGGCAAGAAAAATGAACATTACCAGAACTCCAGAACCCCCTTTTGTGCCTCTTCCTCGTTACTTCCCCCCACTCCTACCAGTTGGTACCCCTCACCACCCCTTGTCAAAAGTAACTTCTTCCTGATATCTATCACCATCAATTAGTTTTTCCTGTTGTGCTATCAAATTTTGTTCATTCTATCTATGTAACTACATATTTGCACCCATTAATCACCCCCACGATATCCCCCACGCCCTGCTACCCTTTGCAGCCTCTGGTAATCATCATTCTACTCTCTATCTCTGTGAGATCAATTGTTTTTTAATATTTTGCTCATACGTATGAGTGAGAATATGCGAGATTTGTCTTTTTGTGCTTGGCTTATTTCACTTAATATAGTGTTCTCCAGTTCCATCCATGTTATTGCAAATGGCAGGATTTCATTCTTTGTGGCTATATATTCCATTGTGTATATGTACCATAATTTTATCTGTTCATCCATAGATGGATGCTTAGGTTGATTCTAAATCTTGGCTGTTGTGAATAGTGCTGCAATAAACATGGAAGTACAGATATCTTTTTGATACACTGAATTCTCTTATTTGGGTATATACCCAGCAGTGGGATTGCTCAATCCTATGGTAATTCTACTTTTAGTTTTGTGAGGAACCTCCATACTGTTCTCCATAGTGGTTGCACTTACATTCCCACCAACAGTGTACCGAGGGTTCCCGTTTCCCCACATCCTCAGTAGCACTAGCCTGTCTTTTTGATGAAAGCCATTTTAACTGAGGTGAGATGATATCTCATAGTTTTGAAACTTTTGCTGTTTACTAAGAGACTTACATATATTAACTCACTAATCTTCATAATAACTATGAGGTAGGCACGTACTACTACTATCTCATTTTATAGATAAGGAAATCAAGATACAGAGATCCTAAAGTCACTCAGCCAGAAAGTAGTGGAACTAGGATTCAAGCTCAACTGTTTGGCTCCCCTTTCTCTGCTCAAAATCACTATGCTTTCTGAAATTAATGCAAAGAGTATCAAGGGAAATGTAGGTTGATTTGGAGGCACTATTTGAAGATGGTCAGTGATCCTGCTTCCAGTACACTGTTGTTGATATGTTTTGGAGCTCTGTGTGAATGCTTTTTCTTCTTTTTACAGACATGGCTGGACTCTGCCAAAGAAATAAAAAAGCAGGTTCGTGGTAAGTGGATATAGCCCTTTTTATAGTTCTTTCTTTCTTTTAGTAGGTCAGAGGATTTCCAGCCATTTCTGGCTATGAGTCAGTCACTTTAGAATCCTGACTATTGCAGATTGCTTTGAAATTGAGATAAAGCCTTCCCCTGGAAGGAGGAGATTCCATAATAGAAAAATGTAGCAGAGGTGGACACTATGGAGATGTAGGTCAGATCTTGATGATTTTTTTTTTTTTTACAACTAGGCAAAGTTGGGGAAGATAGGAACAGTTGAGAGTAACAGAAGATGGAAACAAACAAAGACGAGAAAAGAAAAAGGATAGGGGAGTCAGTTCTCAAAATGTTAGTGAAACTACAGTGGCCTATTACAAGGAGTTTGCTGCCAGATCCTGTTCCTTTTAAATTGTCCTGGACTATTACATTGTAACTGTTCCATGTTCTCCTCCCTATAGTCCTTTTCATTCCTTTCAACAGTTCTCTCCCAAAATTTGAAATATAAAGGGCTGTGGAAGAAAAGACTTGCTTACCAAGCTGGCACTTCTGACATTATGGCTTTGCTCCTAGTGCTAAGCCCTCTCGTGTATATTCTTGCTATACATTCTGATCAGACTAGTATTCTGGGATAAATATCTCTGAGTTGAAAAAAAGTGTAGATTAGTATTTTGCAGTACCAAGTTCAATGGGCTAGCTAAGGGGTATAGACTTTTTTTTCTTGATTTAGACTATTTGTCCTTTTAGTTTAGTTTAGTTTTAAAGAAACTTCCAGGAAATGCAATAGTCATTATTCATCATGATTAGTAAGTTAACTCTGTCACCTGAAAACAAACTTTACATTTCATTTGTTTCTTAAAAGGAAACACTTTTGTTATGGTGAAATGTTTTCCTTTACATCCTGTTTATAATTGCTTTAACTTTCTTAAAGTAGAGAAACAAAATACTCCTTTGGACTGACAACGCTCCCCATATTTGCTCCCTACCTATAAAAGCTATATTAAAATGCAAGTCAGAGAAAATATATTCAGAATATTTGGGACATAACAAGATAAACCTAACTCCCAGCCCCTTTTAATGTAAATACTTTTAACATTCAGTATTATTCGGGAACAAATGGTTGTATAAGAAGACTTTTCAGAAAGAAAAGTTAACTCAGAGATTATGAGTGAAAAAAGAATATAATAGATTGTGTTCCTGGTTATTAAAAAACAATCTCTTGTTAAGAAAAAGAACCTAGGCTGGGTGCGGTGGCTCACGCCTGTAATCCTAGCACTCTGGAAGGCCGAGGTAGGCGGATTGCTCGAGGTCAGGAGTTCGAAACCAGCCTGAGCAAGAGTGAGACCCCCGTCTCTACTATAAATAGAAAGAAATTAATTGGCCAACTAATGTATATATATATATAAAATTAGCCGGGCATGCCTGTAGTCCCAGCTACTCGGGAGGCTGAGGCAGAAGGATTGCTTGAGCCCAGGAGTTTGAGGTTGCTGTGAGGTAGGCTGACGCCACGGCACTCACTCTAGCCTGGGCAACAAAGTGAGACTCTGTCTCAAAAAAAAAAAAAAGAAAAAGAAAAAGAACCTGAACATTGTCATTTTAAAAAAATACTTCAAAGACCATTGAGACAGGAGGCAAAAAATAAAAAAAAAAAATTACTAACTAATAGAAACTCTTCCTTCAACATGGGAGGGGAAAAACCTCCTATCTTACAAAAACTTTAATAGGGAATCAAAATGTAAACATTTCATTAAGCCAAAGAGAAGATGACATTTATCTATTGTAAAGGTTTTCATTTTACTATTTTAGTCGCACAAGTAGTATATACTTATTATGAAAAATTTAAACATTATAGAAATCACAGAGAAGGTAAAAGTCCCCTAAAATTGTGTCCTGTGGGTATAATCACTGTTAAACTGGTGTTATATGCAAGATTTTTTTCTCTGCATACATATATATTTTGCTTTTCAAAAATACAAGTATAGTCTGGGCAACATAGTGAGACCTTGTCTCTTTAAAAAAAAACTTGAACTAGCACATTCCTGTAGTTTCAACTACTAGGAAGGCTGAGGTGGGAGGAGCTCTTAAGGCAGAAGTTTGCAATCAGCCTGGGCAATATAGCAAGACCCCCGTCTCAAAAAAAAAAAAACCCCAAAACCAAGTATACTATATATAGTTTTTTAAAGTAGATGCTATAAATATGTGGTATAAAATTAAAAGATAAAAATGAGTATAGTACAAGGTAAAATCTCCTTCTTCCCTTGTCCTAGTCTTGTAGCTTTCTTTCCTGGAGGCAACCATGGTAACTAATTTTTTGTGTGCTTTCCAGAGATGGTCTGAGTATATGTAGACATACATACATGGGTGTGTATATTTTAATATAAATACAAAACCAGTCTTTTTTGTTTAACATAATTTGGAGTACTTTCCATGTCAATATGTATAAATTTATTTCATCTCTTAAAATTTTTTAAATGATTATTTATACAATATATATAACTGGTCCTATTGATGGGCATTTTGGGTTAATCCAAATAGTTTGCTATTATAAACAAGGTTGTAGTGCACTTATTTGTGTATATATATATATATCTATCTTATATATATAAATGTCTGTAGATAAACTATTAGGAGTAGAATAAAAAAGTATGAATATTTAAAATTGTAATTAATATTCAACAGCAAGATTTTTTCCTTATTTCAAAAAATATAGAAAAGTATGGAGGCTAATGTAACAAATATCCATGTACTCACCACCCAGAATTAACATGTATTAACATTTTTATTTAAAGTAGAACAGTACAGGTAAGGTTTGTCTGTTTATTTTCTTCCTAGTTCCATCCCCTACTCTTCCCTATCCATGGAAATCTATTATCATGAACTTGAGGTGATTTCTTTCAGTCTATGTTTTTATATTTTTTCTTTCATATATCCATTCCCATATATCCATAGTATTGCTTTCAGTTTTTTAAAAATTTCTTTCAGACCCAACCATACCCATTTCGACCTTCTTCTGAGGTTTATCAATCTCTCTTCCTCCTCCTCACATAACTTTCAGCTTTGCTTATTTTCTTGGTTCTGAATAAGAAAGAGCACCCTTGCTGAGTCAGGCTAGCCACTCCCGTCCCTTTCTGGAATAGTACAGAGCAAAGGCAAGGGCAAGAAAGCCTTATACTTTTTGGGGGGGGGGAGGAGACAGAATTCTGCTCTGTCACCTGAGCTAGAGTACAGTGGTGTCATCATAGCTCACTGCAACCTCAAACTCCTGAGCTCAAGCAATCCTCTTGCTTTAGCTTCCTGAGTAGGTAAGACTGTGGGCACATGCCACCACACCTGGCTAATTTTTCTGTTTTTTTGTATTTCTGTTTTTTGTAGAGATGAGATTTCACTTTTGCTTAGTTTAGGGCTCAAACTCCTGTCCTGAAACAATGCTCCTGCCTCAGCCTCCCAAAGAGCTAGGATTACAGGCGTGAGCCACTACACCCAGCCCCTTATATTTTCTATGTATACTATAAATTACTGCTATATAGTTTTACAGAAATTATGTTTTAAAAATATGTAGCCCATGTATGCTCCGTCCTAAGTGCATCTTTTTCTCCTTCCCCTGCAGAAGTTACCACTGTCCTGAATTTTGTGTTAATGATTTCATTGAATTTTTTAAAATGCTTTTTATTATCTGTGAATATATACCTAAAAATATAGGGTTGTGTTTTCTATTTGAACATCCTATATATTTAATTATATAATAGGTAATCATATGTGACTTGCTTTTCACAAAATAGTTTGTGAAATTCATCCCTGTTGAAAAATAAAATTTCACAAAAACAATTTTTTAATCTTTACTATGAATGATACCTTGATTTTTCTTCTATTATGTTACACTTCATGTTTTAAATGCTAATTTTCCCCCCACTAAGCTGATTTGGCAGTGGATCAGGATCTACAGTGTAAAAAACACTGATGTAGGATATATACTTGGGATTGGAATTGTTAGATTATAGGTTATGTTTATTTTCATCTTTATAAGATATTGCCATATTGCTCTCCTTTAAATTGATTGTAACAGTTTACATCCCCACCAGTATTATATGAGAGTTCTTGGTTTCCTGTGTCCTCAGAAGGCAGGAATGTTTTTTTCAATTATTAATTTAAAAATTTTGGGGTTCACGCCTGTAATCCTAGCACTCTGGGAGGCCGAGGCAGGAGGATTGCTTGGTGCTAGGAGTTTGAGACCAGGCTGAACAAGAACTAGATACCATCTCTACAAAAAATAGAAAAAAAAATTAGCTAGGTATGGTGGCATGTAGTCCCAGCTGTAGTCCCTGTAGTCCCAGCTACTTGGAAGGCTGAGTCAGGAGGATTACTTGAGTCCAGGAGTTTGAGGTTGCAGTGAGCTATGATGATACCACTGCACTCTAGCCTGGGTGACAGAGCGAGACCATGTCTCAAAGAAGAAAAAAGAAAAAAAATTTTTTCGGGGGGGACATAATTTAAGACTTACAGAAAAGTTGAAAGAATGGTATAAAGCAGTGGTCCCTAACCTTTTTGGCACCGGGGACTGGTTTCATGGAAGATAATTTTTCCATGGATGCAGGACAGGGGGAGGGGATAGTTTGGGGATGATTCAGGCACATTATGTTTATTATACAGTCAAATCTCTCTGCTAATGATAATCTATATTTGCAGCTGCTCTGCAGTGGTAGCATCACTGCCTCAGCTTCACCTTAGATTCTTTTTTTCTTTTTCTTTTTTTTTGAGACAGTCTCACTTTGTTGCCCAGGCTAGAGTGAGTGCTGTGGCATCAGCCTAGCTCACAGCAACCTCAAACCCCTGGGCTCAAGCAATCCTTCTGCCTCAGCCTACAGAGTAGCTGGGACTACAGGCATGCGCCACCATGCCCGGCTAATTTTTTTTTCTATATATATTAGTTGGCCAATTAATTTCTTTCTATTTATAGTAGAGATGGGGGACTCGCTCTTGCTCAGGCTGGTTTTGAACTCCTGACCTCGAGCAATCTGCC